ATTGTCACACAAGCCCTACCTTCTGGACATGCTCAACATTCCACAACACTAATGCCCCCACTTGAGTTACAAGCCCACGCTACTGAGCTCGGCGATGTGAACACTGCTTCTTGCAAAAATAAAGAGGCAAATAGCTATACTTATCAACGATGTGGGAGAGCACTTGGGGATAAAAGTATTAATTAAGCTTAATAGAAGAAAAAAGAAAATGTTGTTCATTCTTCTTCCTTTTTCTAGTTAGTTGTTTCATTATCTGCTAGTACTAATTATGTGACTGGCATGGCTATGATTATGTGCTTAAATATCAGCTGGAAAAGGAAATGCTGCTAGAACCCGGGGAAATCGCGATTCCATAACATTAACAACCATCATAAAGGCATTTGATATTCCTGATAGAGCTATTAGATTTGCATCAGAGCAGAAAACTACATGGGATGAGTTTACAGCTGCAGTCCGGCAGTCACATGAGGGACGAATGGGGCGGGGCTGATTGTACTTGATACCACAGTTATTTACAGGAATATAACCCTTTCTACAATCAAATGCTCTAAAATATGGAGCAAAGAGATGTAACTGTTGAATATTTATCTAAATGTCATGCCCAAAAAGGGTGCTTGAAGCAAATCCGAATCGTGTGCTGAGAAATCAGATAGATAAATTGAGTTTGATGACCATATATTCATCTTTTCTAGTGCATCTTCTTCTGTTTAAAAGTACAAGCATAGAAACAACAAGCAATAACATGCCTAGTGTAATCCCACAAGTGGGGTCTGGGTAAGGAAGCATAGAGGTGACAGAAAAACCATTTAAAAAAAATAACAGCTTTAGATGAGAGGAAGATAGTGATCTTCTCAATCAAATTCTACATCCTTGAGATATCTGAGGTTGTTTTTTCAACTTTTCTCCTTCTGATGTTTGAGGATCTTCACAAGAAGACGATAAGAAACTGCTCGTAATTTCATTATTTACATCAAATAAAAATTGACCTTGTAATATAACTCAACTAGACAGATCATAAGTTCTGCAGAAGTTTTTATTTTGGCTCCCAAAATATGATATCCCCTTGCTCTCCAACAAGACCAAGATCTTTAAGCCTCCTTTCTTGGTAGTATTCTAATTCATCTAGTTCCAATTCTCTTTCTCTAAAGATATCGTCGATTTGTTGTAAAACCTTCTTCTCTCCTGCTCTTATCCCTACTGCTATCTGAAGCCTTGAACTGAGGTTCCCTTCCTCCATCAGTTTCTCATCCTACAATCATTGTTGTGTTCAATGCCATAAAACGGTTTTATTCATAAGATTGAGAATCCAGATACCATAGAATTTAGCAGAATGCTTTAAAGGAAGGAGACATGAAAATACGGACGGCTAAAATATAGTAGGACAAGAGGCAATGACAATGTCTTAGTAACACAATTAACTAGTGATGTAAATATACCTCTTCAATTGTGGTGTGATAGGCTGAAAGTGCAGATTTGCATGCATCTCGTACGACTTTACATATGAGCTCCTCATTTGCTCTGCTGACAGGTAACTCAAGATGACCCCAAACAGCATTTCTGAAAATTGATTCTAGTAGGAAAGCATCAGTTCCACTAAGTGCAACCAGCCTTAGATATGGAATCAGAAAAGGGGGCAGAGATTGTCCAAGTTTTATGTCAAAGTAAGCACTTTCTCCTAGGCCATTTGACTCTGCTATATCCAGCTTATCCTCATAAAAATCATCAGACTCTGATATTTCCAAAGTTAACGTAAATGCATCACGAGCTGAAGTACTTGGTTCGATGAAGCCATAGTCAAGAGCCATATCAGCATTGCTTTTGTTCAAGTCATATTGGATGAAAAGCTGTCAAAATCAACCAAGTTGGCTATTGTTCATTAACGGATGATCAAATTGAAATGCTACATAATGCATGTGATTATGAGTTAGGAAGTAATGAATAATTGTTTTCACAATATTAGCTTTTCAATGAACAATAGCAGAATGACTTGTTCTCTACTGAAGATAGTTTCTGAATTTTGAAGAACTCAGTAAGCTTTACCTGGTCTCCAGCCTTCAGTTTCAATGGACTTCGTAAAGAAAATAACAAATCCCACGAGAACAGACCTGCTGGTCCCCTAACTTCATGGGCATGATCTTCTGTGGTCACTCTGGCATTGTGGTTTGTCTGATAAGTAAACCATTCGTATAACGTTATTCACCAATCCATCATAGCCAATAAAATGATGAAATGCTATATAACAATGAAATTCTAACAACATTTACTGCAGGTGCACAGAGCCAGAGCCTCACCATTGTGGGCTTCTTATGAGCAGTCAGTCATCATTAAAATACTTCAATTGCTTATCTAAGTAGTTTTCATTACCTAAAATCTTACCAGGTCAGCAAAAGGAACCAGAATAAGATTTTGATTCCGAAGACGAGAAAATGCCCTTGATCTGAGCATTCCAAATGCCCAGAAGAAATCATCCAAGGTTATGGGAAAAGGGAAAAGCTGCTTGTTAGGAAGTATGACTTCTTCTTCCACTTTTTGAAATTCATTTTGCACATAATCTTTCACACTCAATGTTGTGCTTAAAAGTTGAGTCCCTGTAAATGATAGCATGACAAACAAAATGAATCACAAATACCTGGAACTCCCAAATTCTCACTTAATCAAACAAGGGACATCACATTTCTTATCTAGCAACAAGCAATTTCATCATCGTTAGAGAAAATGCCATCACGTTCTACATATTTGATTATGGAATATAATCAAGACAATCATGTAACAACCCTATACAAAGGCATTACCAGTATCTCTAACTAAGTCATAATCACAATTCCATAGGTTATATGAAAACCATAAACTAGCCTACCATATAAAATATTGCATCCAAAGCCGGAAACAAACTTCAAGAGATTCTGTAACCATATGATAACTCTCAATAGTCCAAAATTTTAAGACTAATAAAATAAGCAACTAGGACTTGCCATGACGCGATGATACAGTTGCTCCTTTGGTAACCTAAAGGTCATGGGTTTAAGGCGTGAAAACGTACTCTTGTAGAGATACAAGGGGAAGGCTGCAGTTTAGAGTACTTTGTCAAAGGGCAAGGCACTTAAGTAATAAAACTAGAGTTTAAGTTCTACATACTGCACAGTCCAAAAATGTTTATACAATGGCGTGGAGCTCGATTTACTTCCCCTTACGAGCGCACACATACAAAAAGAAAGCTAGTTGTGGGCTTCGGTTTCCATAAAATACTCAGACGGTGTGGGTGGCACACAGTGAATGAACACAAAAATCTGCAATTTTCCTATTTAAGGTTTTGTTTTTACATAGTAAAGCAGATTAGATTACCTTGAATCTCAGAAAGCTCCTCTTCAGACCTGCACTGGAAGAACATATCAAGCAACCTTCATCAGCAATACAACTTCCAAAAATAATTATTCATAACAACATATCCAGTGTAATTATACAATTTGGGGTCAGCGGAAGCAAAAATTACACAAAAATCTGCCTTCAATATGCAGACCTGACACCACCTTGAGAAAAGCAAGCAAAAATTACTCATAAAATTAAAAGAAAAGAAGCAAATTGAAGGCAGACCCACCAATATATAGTGGAATCAGTAGACTCTGGAAGAACAGCCATGTAATATTTCCACTTTGAATCATCTCTCCATTTCTCTCTAAGCAAGAAAAGAGCAACAGAAATCCAAGGTTTCAATCCAGTACACACATTCCCAATTTCAGTATCTGCAACTGCATCTGGATTAATCCAGAACCTTCTAGGAACTTCTAGAACTGTCTCCCCTTTAGCTATATCTCTCTTAGCAACTAATCCTAAACCTTCTGGTACAATTCCTGGCTTTACAGGTGTCTTTGCTGATACAACCCCTTCATCACATAGCCACTTCCAGAATGTTTGGACTGGTTCTGGGATATTTGGGTCAAGTTCTTTTAACTGAAGTGAGTTTATCAAGAATGGTTTTGGGGAACTGTGTAAAGATTGAAACTTTGTTCTGAATCTTTTGGTTTTGAGTGGACAGAGGAAAGATGAAGAGGGTAAAGAGAAAACAGAAGCCATTTGTTCTAGCTTTGTTTCCCTCTTAGCTAGATTGGTTTGGTTCTACTGGATTTCAGAGTAACTAGATTTCCAGATGAGGTTGTTAATCAGTTAAGACAAGACCTTTTCTATCTTCTTTATTTTATTAAGTTAATTAAAATATAATATCTATCATCATATCTTTTTTATTGTGCTTCGATAATCACATTATTTTGTCGTTGTTATTATTCCTTTCTTGTAGGCTCTGCAATGCTTTCTGTATTAGTTGTTCTGTTTGCCTCGCTATTTTCTTCTTCTTTTACTTTGTTGCACTTGATTTGAGGGTCTTTCGAAACCGTCCTCTACCTCGAGGCGTAATAGTAAAATTTGTGTATAATCTACCTTCCCAGTCCCAGATATGACTTGTGAAATTTCCCTGGTTATATTGTTGTTGTATTAATAACAAATTTTCTATTCCTGACATAATTAATCTTTTCCACATCGCTGATAAATAAAGCTATTTGCCTCTTTATTTGTGCAGTGAGCATAACTCATACTGCCGAGCTCAGTACCGTGGACTTGTAACTCAAGTGGGGGCATTAGTGTGGTGGAATGTTGGACATATCCAAATGGTTGGGCTTGCGTGGCAATTTTCTGGCCTGCCTTATCCAAGCACAGAGTTGGGTCCCGTAGTCTATGGCGAAGGCTTGGGCTGCTGGGCTCCTAAAGTGGGCTGGACTGCGTGAGGCTGGTTTCACAGAGCAACGAATATTTCCCGCTTTGTGCAGTGGAAGGATAACGAGCCAGTGTCGCACAAGTCCAATGAATGCCTGATGGACTGCTCTAATTAAACCACCACTTTTGTCTTGTAGTCAAGTTCCATGACCACACCTCAAAGCTAACCATAACCAGTCATTTGTTTGAGACTAGGATAAATATACAATGCTTCAACTGCATAACATTACAACCATTTAAGTATTATTCATCATTTTTTTTAGTCCTTTTTCATTCTGCAATCATTAAAGAACAAATGAGATAACATTTGTAGAACCAAGTAAGCTAAAGTGAAGCATGGCTTCTGTTTTCTCTTCTTCTTTCCTCTGTCCACTCAAAACCACAAAATTAAGAATAAAGCTTCAAACTTTACAGAGTTCTCAAAAACCATTCTTGATAAATTCACTTCAGTTAAGAGAACTTGACCCAAAAATCCCACAACCAGTTCAAACATTCTGGAAGTGGCTATGTGATGAAGGAGTTGTATCAATAAAGACACCTGTAAAGCCAGGAATTGTAGCAGAGGGTTTAGGATTAGTTGCTAACAGAGATATTTCAAAAGGGGAAACAGTTTTAGGAGTGCCTAAAAGGTTCTGGATCAACACAGATACAGTTGCAGAATCTGAAATTGGGAATGTGTGTACTGGATTAGAACCTTGGATTTCTCTTGCTCTCTTCTTGTTGAGAGAGAAATGGAAAGATGATTCCAAGTGGAAATATTACATGGCTGTTCTTCCAGAGTCTACTGATTCCACTATATATTGGTGGGTCTGCCTTCAAATTTATTTTTTTCCTTGTTATTGTTAGGCTGGATTAGAGTCCCTCATTAGCTAGATTTTGAGTTTGACTTAGGCTCAATTGTCATATGTTTACATGGTATCGGGTCCATCCCGTTTGGGCTTCCGGTCCACACTCCAGATGCGTCTGGATGTGAAGGGGAGTGTAAGAGTGGGTTAGAGTCCCACATTGGTTCGAGGGATGATTTGTTTATATGGTCTTGGTCACTCTTCTACCCATGAACTAGCTTTTGGGGTTGAGTTAGGTTCAAGTGTCATATCATTATCTTTACAGGTTTTATGAATATTTTTTTCTTTTGAAGTTGTGTTGCTGATGTTGCTTGGTATGTTCTTTCAGTGCAGGTCTGAAGAGGAGCTCTCTGAGATTCAAGGTAAACTTGTTTCCTTGTAAAACATGCCTTTAATAGGAAAATTTCAGATTAAGTGTTCATGATGGAGTTAAGTTATATATACTAACATTGTAAATTATTTTTTAACTCTATATGGTTACACAATCTCTTGAAGCTTGTTTCTGCACTGGATGCAATCTTGTATGTTGTAGCTATAGGCTGCTTGATTGTTTTCATGTAACCTGTGAAATTGTGATCCCTTATGACTTGGTTATAGAGATTGGTATGCCTTTTATATAGAACTGTTGCGTGATTCTCTTGATTATACTCCATAGTCAAATAAGTAGAGTGGGATGGCACATTGGCACTGTCTCTAAGCAAAGTTGAAACTGCCCTTAGGTAAGAAATGTGATGTTGCATGTTTGATTAAGTGAGATGTTAAGTTCTCTAAGTACTTGTGATAAGAAATGTGATGTTGCATGTTTGGCGTGCTATCATTTGCAGGAACTCAACTTTTAAGCACAACGTTGAGTGTGAAAGAGTATGTGCAAAGTGAATTTCAAAAATTGGAAGAACAAGTCATACTTGGTAACAAGCAGCTTTTCCCTTTTCCTATAACCTTGGATGATTTCTTCTGGGCATTTGGAATACTCAGATCAAGGGCGTTTTCCCGTGGTGGGATTCAAAATCTAATGCTGGTCCCCTTTGCTGACCTGGTAAGATTTTAGGTAAACAAAATTACTTAGATGAGCAATTCTAGTGATGAATGACTACTTATAAGAAGCCCACAATGAAAAGGAGGAAGTGTTGGATTAAGAAATAAATTCATCTTAGTTACAAGATTGATTCAAAAGTATGTTGATGATCAAATGAACCTATATAGACATGAAAGCTTTAGCTTCAGTTAGAAACGAGTATTAAAAGAGTCTGAGGACTGTTGTCAGAATTTCATTGTTTGTTGAAGTTCATTTCCAAATTCCGATACAGTAGTTCACCTACGTTTTTGGCTATCGATTGGTGAATAACGTTATACAAATGGTTTACTTATCAGGCAAACCACAGTGTCAAAGTGACCACAGAAGATCATATCCATGAAATTGGGGGACCAGCAGGTCTGTTCTCCTGGGACTTGTTATTTTCTTTTCAAAGTCCATTGAAACTGAAGGCTGGTGACCAGGTAAGGCTTGCTGAGTTTTTCAAAAAAAAGTCATTCTGCTATTGGTCATACAAATTCCAACATTTTGAATTAAAACATTCATTACTTCCTATCTCATAATTTCATGCATTATGTAGCATTTTTGCTGTATCATCTGTTAAGAGTCTATAGGAGGCCTAGTTTGCTTCATATATTTGATTGAAGATTTGAAGTACTTCTGTTAGAACTAAAACCTTTAATGTACTCATACCAAAGTGGTACATAACAGATGTGTTTTTGACAGTTTCTTATCCAATATGGCTTGAATAAAAGCAATGCTGATATGGCTATTGGCTATGGCTTCATCGAACCAAACTCAGCTCGTGATGCATTTACATTAACATTGGAAATATCAAAGACTGACTATTTTAATGGGGACAAGCTGGATATAGCAGAGTCAAATGGCCTAGGAGAAACTGCTGACTTTGACATAAAACTTGGACAATCTCTCCCTCCTTCTCTATTTCCATATCTTAGGCTGGTTGCCCTTGGTGGAACTGATAATTTCCTAATAGAATCAATTTCTGGAAATGCTGTTTGGAATCTTCTCGAGTTGCCTGTCAGCAGAGCAAACGAAGAGCTCATATGTAAAGTTGTACGAGATTTATGCAGGTCTGCACTTTCTGGATATCACACCACAATTGAAGAGGTATGGCATTGTCATTCCTCGTCTTACTATATTTTGGTTGTCCATGTCTTCATTGTCGCCTTCCTTTGAAGCATTCTGCTAAATACTATGGTATCTGGACTCTGAATCATATGAATAAAACTATTTTTATCTCCATTATGTAGTACATGTATTGTCTTTTGGCATTGAACACAATGATTATTGTAGGATGAGAAACTGATGAAGGAAGGGAACCTCAGTTCAAGGCTTCAGATAGCAGTAGGGGTGAGAGCAGGGGAGAAGAAGGTTTTACAACAACTCGACGGTATTTTTAGAGAAAGAGAACTGGAACTAGATGAATTAGAGTACTACCAAGAAAGGAGGCTTAAAGATCTTGATTTTGTTGGAGAGCCAAAGTAAGGAACTCTCTGCTGACCTTATGACCATTCTAGTTGAGTTATAACAGCTTGGACTTCAAAGGCAAAGGCGGATCTAGAATTTTAAGTATATAGGCTCCTATAAGAACCTCAACTTAGCTATATGACTTCTCAGCACACAATACAAATTTTCTCCAAGTACCCTTTTTTGGGCATGACAATTAGATAAATGAACAAACTGTTACATCTTTTTGCTCCACATTTTAGAGCATTTGATTGTAAAAAAAGGTTATATTCCTGTAAAAAACTGTGGTATCAAGTACAATCAACACTGTCCAACTTGTGGAAGAAAGTAAAAACATATGAACAAAATGAATGAACACATTAACATGGCACTTCTTTTCTTTTTGACAAGTATGACACGTTTGGTTTCTTCATTTTTTCCCTCCTGCTTCTCCCAGTTATAGACTGCATATCTATGACAAAACACCTCTCCAAAATGCCCTGACGACTGAAGGCCGCATTTCAGCCCTTTGGCCAACAGATCTGGATTGTACATACCAACAACTTTACGCCTTTCCCTTTGCTTTCTTCACAAAACGCCTGTGCATTACTATGGAGTAACTACCCATGGAGGACATGCCCTGAATTGCATTTCATTGGACAGCAGTGGAATTATCAGGCCCAAACAAGTCATCACAGGTTTTACTCTCACACAGACACTCCTGTGGATTTGCATAAAAATAATCTTCTTCTTTTGGTTTGTCTGCAATGACTCTGCGTCGAGCCAGTTGTCCCATTCGTCCCTCATGTGACTGCCGGACTGTAGCTGTAAACTCATCCCATGTAAGTGTTCCGTTCTGATGCAAATCTAATAACTCTACCAGTTTTTTTCGATCCAATCGCATGGTTTTCTTAAACCCAAGATACCTGCAAAAAATAATCAGAAATGCCTTCATAATGTTGTTAATGTTATGGAATCATTTCCAGCGCAGTAGGTAATATGTACCTACGATGACCTTCAACAACTTTAGCCATGTTCCCATCATAAGTGGGAACAAATACATTACTAGCAGTTGAAACGATGAAATCCAGGGCTGCCATCTGAGATGAATGATTCTGGAAATGCTGCAATTCCCCAGGTTCTAGCAGCATGTCCTTTTTCACCTATTATTAAACATAATAGGTAAGAAGGATAATTAGCTCATAGTGTCCAGTAAATAGTCACAATGAATTCCTCAGCAATAAAAAAACTGGCAGTACAAAACGTAGAACATTTTGAACACATTTCCAGGCTACCAAATGTCTCAAAGAATGTCAGGTTATTCAATGAACAGAATACTTGTATCAGAGATCACTGTCCAAGTTGCTCATCACCTCAATATATGCAATAGACTACAAGAATGTTGGCTAAGGCACATGTTCGCTATTCCATGCAACAGATTTCGGATAAATGTTTAAGACACAGCCCTAAAACTGGTAGTTTAAATGTCCCAGCAACAGATAAAAATAATCACTTACAATTTTTGGGAAGGCAGCTCTCAAAGAAGCAAGCCTATGTTCACCTCCATAAATGTCACCAGATGCAATATATATTTGTATATCTTTATCAAAACCCAACGCTTGCAAAATCAAAGCTGTCTCTTCTGGGGTGAGAGGACACAATCCATGAGATCTCTTCTCCTCAGATACAATTTCTTTCTCCCTCCACCAAGGGAATGCATACCTAAGGAAACAAAGGCAACCAGAAAGGAATTTACTATATAGACAACAAGTTTGCGTGTTGGTCAAGACAAAAGGGTGAAATAGAGAAAATTGTATCGGTGGGAGTGGGAGAACAAAGTGAAATCATTAAATCATCCAACAATGTAAAACTTTAAAATCTTGAGATAGAAAATAAAAGTTATGAGTAAATGTCATTGTCACAACAGCAGCTCATAGTTTATGTTAGTAACCCACTGGTATCCAATCCACTAATTTTATTATGCCCATGACGAGGGCAGGCTGACCGCTGACGAAGGCGGATCAACTTCTTTCCATATTTTTTTAAAGAAAAAAACAAAAAAGAGAATAAAACTAAAATACAACAGTTGTTCTGAGATGATCACCTTAACCGTTTGAGCTCCTCAGCTTCCTCCTCAGTGCAGCCATGGGTGCAACCAGAGAATGCCAACATATCCATCTCATATCTTAGATGCAATGCTACAAATGGCCCTCTCTCCTGAAGCATTCGTACCAATTTTTCTCCCAAAGCCTCAATATCTGGAGTGAATTTCAATGCCTGGAAATTCACACGACATCTGAGTTTTTGAAGCTCAAGAGGAATCCCATTGTTTGCTAGCCTAGTATCTGTTCTGTTGAAATGTATTACTTGATGCTTGCTGAAGAGAGGCAGAATCTGCAATAGTAATCCGAATGTGTTAAAGCAGGTTAAATTACAACTGTTGATGAGGCATATATAGCTTCAGAGCAGATATATTCAATTATCAAGGTATTAGAATCATTGTATGCAGATTGATTCCAGTATCAAAAGCAGTACATGAAACTACATACAGCAAAAAGAGAAGTACTTTGAAAGTTGAGATGTATCGTATAAGATTAAGCACTAGTCTTCTAAATGACAGACAAATGACAATGTCCACAGTCACGAAGAACAATCGACGGTGTAGGTCAATCACAAATTGATAATAAGACAAGAATGTATTGCAAGTAGATAAACCTGTTGCAAGTAGTACTTTTCATTTGACCAGCTAACAGGAGGCATTTCTAGCAGTTGGTATCCATATCTCCTGCTGAACCTCTTTGGCAGTCTCTTTATTATCCGAACTTCATCTCTTAGTGAATCAATGAAGTGTCTCACATCAAAAATATCATCAAAATTGCTGCCAAGAAATGTTACAACTTGTTATAAAACACGAAGCAATAGGTCAAAGAACTACATCTACATAACACCAGAAATACCTAGGATCTGCCCAGAAGGATGTTTTATCAAGCTTTGGGACAACCAAAGTTAGATTTAAAAGACGTGCAACAGTCACCATGTCACAGATCTACATTCAAAAGATGGAAGAATTAGTTACAGATTAGGAGTTTGATACAGTTTCGGATTTTTTGACTTTCTTTCCATATGAATTGGACAAGAATGTATAAAGAAAAAAAAAGAAGAACAAATACTAACGGCTGCACGCATTTGATTCAAGCCACCATTGCAGGACACTTGAAGAAACCCATTATTTGTATAATTTCCTGCATAATGTCATATGTCAAAATTGTTATGAATGTTAGAAGAAGCAGAATTTGGAACTCATACAAAGATACAGTTCCTATTACTGGTACACTGATGAGACTAGGTAACAGTACTTTTGGAGTTTTGGTCACTGAATGTTTAGTTAGTAGAATAGCAGATATATAAGTTTTTTGGATAATTAAGTAAATCTTTAATGATTCAAAACAGCACTAATATTGTGCTGACATCTGTATAACTGATTACAAAGATCAATTCCTACTCTAAACTGAAAGGAACTGATGAAGTCTAAGAATGTGTCTACATCATTTACAAAATCCAACCTACACCAAAATGCTAGCGGAAGTGTACAATTGCACATGGAGATATATAAACTGAAACACAATGTCTCATATTGCAAGAAAAAGGTTGCCTCCAGCAACTTAAAATGTACTTTCATCCATAAAAGTATGTTTACATCTATCCCCTTATAATTGAGACATTTCTTTCTTTTACTAGTTCCTCATTGTTGCGACATTTCGTCTAGCAGCATTAATTTGTTCAAAAACATCAGGAAAAATTATGTTTACACTACTTCATGATTCACGCTAGACGATTAACCCCGGGAAAAATGGGAAGAATATGAGACATTTCACCCTATTTCGGATGGAGAAAATTCTGTCTTAAATATTAAAAAGAAAGCTGTAATAAGGAATGCTACAGAGAGGACTAGAAAAGAAAGTCTCTCATCCAGTCCTTTTCTCGACTTCCCTTCAAAAAAAACATTTGTTTTTATCTCTCAGGAAGCACTTCTTACTAATCCAATTGATTATCGTCAACAGACTAAGCATAGATCCAATGAGCACCTTCATTAGCTTTTCAGAATATAGTTTTTAAAATGGGAAGAGTATATATGTTCTGATTTCTGAAAAGCTAATGGAGTCTCTCATTGGATCTATGCTTAGTTAGTCAAGGAACATGAGTTTAGGTTCCCTATTTCACACATGGTGACTTCATTAACTTTTTCAGAATATATAGTATTATGTTCCATTTTTCAGGAATGCTTAATAAAGCAGTATGTCACAAGATTACAGGACCTGGAATGGGGAAATATAATAGCATCAATCGAAAGTAAATCAATTAGCAGAGGAAAACACACCATAAACGGATACCGATTTGGGACGAAAATAAGACATTTGAAACCAAATTTAAACCTTACCTAATTCTAACCATAAACCTTTTAAGCTGACATTTTTCTTATTTCCAATTGGACACCGAAGGGACAAAACTAAAAATAGGAAGACAGACTGACTATAGACATCCCATTGGTAGCTCTCTCTAGATTATAGATCTGTTAAGGTCGTACTTCCAAACCATCAGATCTCAAAAACTATGAATACCATGCTCAGGTCTCTCTCCTAATTCTTCTTTTTCTTTTTCCCTCTCAATCTATGTCAATCAATTAACTCGCCTCAATCTCAAACTAGTTAGCATCAACTATATAATCCTCTTTTGCATTCCGCTCTGGTAGGGGCGCCTGCATTCAAATGCTAAACTTTGACGTTTTCAGCAAATTAGGGATTCTCTAAAACTAGAAGTTCTTTAAATCTCACGTTCTATAAGTCTCTATTTATCCTAAGTTCCTAACTATACTAAAAAGAGCGGATCAATTACCAGACCTCACACAAGTGTAACAACAACAACTATGTTTTAATCCCAACTACTACGCATCTCTATTCTCCCATATGGATCCTTCACTTCCATTGGTGTTAGGTTATTAGCTAAAGAATTACAACCAACTTAATATACAGCAAACAGATCATATACTCTAACAACCACAACAACATACCCAGTATAGTCCCACAAAGTAGGGTATGAAGAGGGTAGAGTGTACGTAGACCTTACCCCTACCTCAAAGGTAGAGAGGTTGTTTCCAATAGACCTTGGCTTAAGGAAAAACAGTCCAAAGCAGTTCCGAAAAAGAAGTAACATAAGTACAAAAAACAACCAATAATAATAAAAACAACATATAATAACAGAACAGAAACTACAATAAATATCATAATTGAGGTACAAGAAACAATATACATTAACAGAAATCGAAGGACAAGAAACTACAGGAGCAATACACGACTACTAATATAAACGGAAAGATCACATACTTCAATG